TCTGTTCCCATTGGCTGGAATGTGAATGTGGTGGTAGGAACAAGAGCAGAGCCATCTTAGATCACAAGACAGAAGCCACATCTACACTAATAAAAGAGAAACATGGTAATTGTGGAATGTGAATGTGGTGGTAGGAACAAGAGCTGAGCCATCTCAGATCACAAGACAGAAGCCACATATATTGAGGATAACAGAGTAATAAGAAAGGTGTCTGGTGTGGGAAACTGCCTATTATCTTCACTAGCAGAGAAGTGTAGACAGAGAACCCGGAAGGCTAGTGACCTTTGAAGCCCTAGCAAAGGTCAGAGCTGTGCACCCACCGTTAGTCCAGATAATGATAGCTGAAGCAACTTCCCCACCAGATAGTCATGTAAATCCTTATTGATAAGATAGTCTGTGTGTTACTGGAACTTGCCTGCCTAAGGGCTATGGGTGTATCCCAAACCAATAAAAGGTTGGCAAGGCCTGAGCACCAGTGAAGTCCTTCCCCTTGAGTTGGACTTATCTGCCTGGCCCCCCCAATATTTCCAAATTATCTCTTGTCTCTTCTCTTTCATTTGTGTGCGGCTCCTCTTCCAGATCCTGAACCCTGAACCACGCGGGACATGGAGGGAAACATTTACAACAGTCTGGCCCTGGCCAGTGTGGCTCAGTTGGTTGGACATCATCCCATGCACCCAAAGGTTGCCAGTTCCATTCCCAGTCAGGATGCATGCCCCGATTACAGGCTCAATCCCCGCTACAGGGTGTGCAGGAGACAGCCAATCAATATTTTGCTCTCTCATTGATGTTTATCTCTCTCCCTCTCTCCCTTCCCCTCTCTCTAAAAATCAATTTTTAAAATCTTAAAAAAAGAAAGAAAGGAAGGAAGGAAGGAAGGTTTCTGGGTCCCAAACATGGTAGGGCTCCAGTCATGTCCTGAACAGGTTGCATGAAGACTATCATGCAACAGACAGGAATAATCTATCTTGTTATCTTGGCCTTTGTTTCAATGGCTAAGCCCGAATCCCAGGGAACATAAAGGCGTGCTGCCTAAAATCGGACTGTTACACAAGGTGAATATGAGCTGAGATCCAAATAATTGGGAAGGAGCCAGCCTTTAAACAATGTGGACAAAGAGCAACCAGGGAGAGGACAACAATGCAAAGGCCCTGAGAGAGAAACAGGCTTGGCCTGTTCAAAGGGCAAAACACAAGCCAGTGTGGTTGGACATGAGATCAGAAAGGTTGGTGGGACCAGGTCAGACAGGGCCACATGACCTCATGCAATGTGATTTTATTCTAAGTGCATCGAGAAGGGTGTTCCGAAAGCAGTTGACAGGGTCCCATTTTCCTGAGGAAAGGAAGTCAGTGTCATTGTCAGCTGCCGTGGACAATGGACTAAACGGGGGGAAAAGAGTAGAGGCGGGGAGACTCAGGAGATACTGCACCAGTCAGGGCACAAGAGGACAGTGGCTTAAACAGTGGTGGTAGTGGGGTGGGGTGGAGGGATGTGGGACACCTGAGGGAGGTTAGACCACAAGACTGGCTGGCAGACGCAAAGACGGAGAAAAGAGAGCAAAGAAGGCAGGTGTGGTGTCTGGCCTGAGCCCCTGGATATTTAGCAATAGTGAGGCCAACACTGCCAACGGCATCCTCAGCAGACACTGCCCCCTTCTTCTTTGCTACCAGCTACTATTTTGTTCCAGGACCCGCCTCCATGATGCCCTGTGTTCCAGGCAGAGCCCTCCCCAGCACCAGAAGCTGAACCTCAGTAAGTATAAGCCAACTGAGTAGAGCAATACCGGACACCTCAGCAGGTGCACAGGGGCTCCCGTGTGACACAGGGACCCAGGGGCAGGGTGCTCTGGCTTTCTCACGGACAGAGTCCAGGACTGCCAAATGTCCCGCCATGCACGAGGCAGTCCACCAAGTGAATGGCCGTCCTCCCTTTGCCAGCAGTGCCCTGCACAGAAGCTCTGCTCAGTCAGGGAGGGTGGGCCCACTCTCCTTGTCAGCGGCTGGTTAGGCAGAGCATGTGATGTCACATGGGGAGTCTCCTGAGGAAAGTGTTCCTCCCTGACCAGCAGGCACCCCCAGAGACAAAAGCCCCCTCCTCTGTGCCTGTATGTGACTGCTGAGGTATAACTGGGGCCTCGCTGTACCCACATGAGGACCAGGCCACCATGCTGAGCACAGGGAGTCTACACTGGGAGGGGGTTCTGGAGACCTGAGATAATGTTCAAGTGACGGTGAGACAGGGGAGATTCCATAGCCCCTTCCAGCTCACTCCCCGTAGAGCAAACTTCTGGTCTTAGCTTCCCAGGACCAGAGAAACCGAGATAGTTTCTCCCACCCGGGAAGGCGTCTCTTGACATCATTAACATTCCAGAAGCTATCTTCCCACCCAGTGCTTGGGCCTCCACGTCCCTCCCTCTGTCTTTGGCCAGGCTGCAGGGCAAGAGGCCAGCGAGGCTCAGGTCATGCCGTGCTGGACCTGCAGTGAGCGCCTGGACAGTGCCTCCCTCTCCTGGCCGCAGCTTCCTTATCCCTCACCTGTGCAGTGGGACTGACCAAACCTCTCCCAGAGCTTCCAGGTGGGAAGCCTGGGGAATCAGAAAGCCCTAAGAGGCCGGCGATACTTCTTCACAGTCGCCGTAACCCCCTTCCGCGCTTCCAACCCCCAGCAGGCTGTTTGTTGCGATTTTAAACCCCCTTATCCTTCAGCCGTGGTGGACACTGTCCTAGAGAGGCCACTCCACGTGAACTGCCAGCAGCCCGACCGGGAGCCCCCCAGAAGGAAGAGAGGCCCTGGGCCCCTTCCCTCGCCTTCAAGGCCCAACTTGACCCGACCCCTGCCTACTGCTCTGCCTCAGTCCCTTCCTCTCCCCAGGCCCTGGCTTTCATCTTGTTCTCCAAACGTCTGCCTACCTCAGGGCTTGCTCCTCTCCCAGCACCGTCTCACCTTTCTGGCCACCCTCTCCAAGCAGCCCTCCTTAACCATCTCTCCCGGCTAGCCCGCACTGTGTTCTCTTTACGGCACGTGGCCCTGGCTGTGTGTTTATTTATTAGCTGTCCATCTTCTTTACGGCACGTGGCCTCTGTCAGAAGTGGCCCTGGCTGTGTGTTTATTTATTAGCTGTCCATCCCCGGTGTGCTCGTGGCCCCATAGCCTAGAACAGGGCCGGGCACAAAATAAGTTCTCAGCAAATGTTATGATTTGGGCAAATAAATCCCCAGTGCAGTGCAACCCAGCCCCTCTGGGGAGCGGGAGAAGGATCCATGTGGAAGGACCCCGAGGCCCATCCCCACGCCCAACTCCCCCCTCCTTCCCCTGGTCCTGTGGACGCAGAGTCCTCCAGCCTTGCAGGTGGCCCCTCGCACAAGGGCAAAGCCTCGGCACATGAACAGCACTCCCCTGCCCTTTCAGGCGGCTGAAGGCCACAGCAAAGCTGGAGGCAGGCCTGTCACCGTTTGTCGATGGGAACAGAGGCCCAGATGTGGGGGTGTCTTGGCCCCTAGACCTCCTCCTGCACAGCCTCAACCCACAGGTCAGCAAGCCCTGCTCACAGGCCACAGCCCTGGGCCTGTGCAGCTACGTGTGTGTGGTCACTGCCCCCTCCTGGGGCCTTCCCCACCCCCCATGGGACTCCCAGTTACCTCGTCCCCTCCTCCTTGGTGCCCCGCACCCAGAGACCCCCGGGGCCCTCTGAAACCTCCCCAACGGGGTATTCTCTGAGGCTGTGCGAGAAGTGGTGACACCCCTGAGAAAGGAGCGGGGCGGGTGGGCCCCGGTCCAGCTGTGGGGATGGGAGTCCCCATCAGCTCCGGGCTCCCTGACAGCCGCCACGGGGAGACCCCCAATGCACCCAGGCTCCAGGGCTACCCGCCGGGGAGGGGGAAGGGCTGCAGATGGGAGGCGGAGGCCGGGACCTCTCTGGAGTGGAGGTGCCAGCCCAGCGGTAGGGCTTCAAGCCAATGACAGGAGCCGAGGGTCCCTTTTACCTGAGGGCTCCGGGCCGCGATCAGGCCCCGCCGCCGCGGTCGCCCAT